TCAGGAGGGATTATAATCTGCGGAACCGCTGCACTCTTTCACTCAGTCAGGACACTTCACAACCAAAGTCAGATTTTAATGTAGGACCAGGCACAACAAAATTACTTTCCAAAAGGAACAAGTGCAAAGAATAGAGTAGAAAAGTGAAGTGATGATGGAGTTTTACTGCAGCGGAATACAAAATATGTACAAAAAAATCATATGTTTACTGGAAACTTATTTAGTTACACAATATCTAATTAGCATATAGCACGTAGTTAGCCAAGCACACAATTTACATATGACCACGGTGATAAAAGGAAATTTAAAAAATATATTTTAATTACTGTCGGAGTGTATTTGTTGTATTTATTTATGTAATATTCATTTTAACTCACAGTAAACTTGTTAAATTATAATAAAATACATGTTTAAATAATTCATTTATATTCACAAATAAAAGGACAGACATACAGACCTGAGTCTCTGCCGTAATCTGACAATTTATGACGTAACTGTTGTGTTGAGCTGAATCCATTTGTGAAACAGCAGATAAAAAAAAACAAAAAACAGGAGCTCGTCGGTTTTCAGAGACGGTTAAATCAGTCGGTGACGTAACTGTCAACAGACAGACAGTAAATCCACCTGTTGAGCTCGTCATCACCGAAACTGATTAGAAGAGGACAAAATATCTAAACTTCAGAGAATCACACAATTATGAATGAAGATCGCCACCTGCTGGATACTTTTGATTACTGCAGCATGAGACGTTTCTAACGTCCTCTCCAAAGGAAAGGTAGTTTTTCAATACTTAGTTTAATAAGTTTAATCTGGTATCAACTTCAAGGTATCGAGATCAGATAAAATCCTTTAATTCCAACCTTCTTTCTAGGATAAAATCAGCATTAATTAGATATATTACCTCCAAATAAGTTGGAACAGGGTTAAACCGTAACTGAAGTTTCCCAAGTGAGCGGATGAACTAACATCTGTACTTTAGGTAACATACAAACTTAAGGGCACATTTTGCCACAGATCACTGGCAGACTCGCAATGTGTGATTCCTAAGATTTTTAGCTTAGCAAATGAATGTACTCCTTGGCACATCAATACAATTCTAATTTATGCAAATCGAGTTTCACTACATGATACATAAAGACTAACTCAAATTTAACCCGGACTCTAACATACCATAATGTCAGTGTCTTCGTAAGTGAAGTGATCGAACAGGCCTTTAGGGATATGTCAGTGCTGTAGTAAATTCTTCAAATTGTCATAAACAAATTAGAAACAAGTGGAGTCATTCATTTCCAAACTGATTTAATGAATACAAAACAACCGAAAACTGAGTGCAAGCCCAAAACAATAGAGAGTATTTACAAATAAATGTGTTATCTACAAAACATAACGGGATGCTGAACTTCATTTCCCAAATTAGGACAAATAGACACAGACATGACGGCTGAACAGAGGTGGAAACTTTGACAACTAGGCTGAAGATCATTAGGTTTAACTTCCTTCAGCCCTTCCATCACTCAGGAACACTCCCAGTCGATTGCTTCTGTCTATTCTCCCTTTTGGGGATGGTACGGCCACTTAGGCAGCCTCCTCGTCGATCTTAGGCGCCAGGTAGTACTTGACGTGTCCCATGTCGGCAATCTTGTACTCCACCACTGCAAGGCAGGATGAGAAATAAGCATGTTAGAAAGAATAGCCTTGCATAAACTTCAATGATTTAAAAAATAAATAAATACAATCAGCAAGGTTGTACTGACCTAGGGGAATGTCAGCAGACATGCTGAGAGTGACAGTCTTGGACAGCGGTGTGGCCTTGGTGAAGAAGTTCAAGTAGTTGAGAGCAAAGATGAGTTGGACTGGTTCGTTCATCTCAATAGTGACCTGGAAACAGATGAGCAGATATGAACAAAGTTCAATTAATCAGAAGAAAATGAAAGTTTATGCCATAAACTAGTGGAAATACGACAACTACAGCTTGCCCAGGCAGCAGGATTGGTCAAACTATTTGAATCACAGCACACAACAGCCCTAAAATAGAACTGAGTCAGGAGCAGATAGATGGAGCATTTGGGTGACCAAGATAAACAACATGTAAAAGCCATGCATAAAGGCTAAAACATTTATAATTTTCTGCACCATCTATTGGGGAAACGTGGGTACTGCAGGGAAAAGGCATAAGTATAATGCCCATGCCTGAGCTAGAACAATATCAATATTAACCACACTGATATAGTAACTGCTCCTGTTTCTCCTCATTCTTACCGCCTCCTCTTCCTTGTCCACATTGCTGGTCTGTGACAACTTGATGTTTCCTGTTCCCAGCTCCCCTGAGGCCGAGAACTTGACTCCATCTTTAGCACAGGAGATCATGACGGCATCACCGATCTGTGACAAGTCTCTGCAGATTCGGGCAAACTCTCCAGAGGGCATTTTCACCACACAGCTGTATTCCTGCTCCTGGTGTCACAGTGGAGGCAAAAGCAAAAGATCAGTGAACGGAACAAGGACACAAACGGTTCAGTGCACCACCATGGACAAAGACATGGACTTACTGGAATACCCAGTTGCTCTACGTCAAGGTCCATCAACTTCATCTCATAATCAGAGACTTTCTCCTGGTCTGAAGGAGAGAACAGTCGTTAGAAACACACGCACACACAAACGGAGAATCAAGTCGTTCTTTGAACATGGATGACAAAGAGTTAAACTCACTGATTGTCTCAAACACCAGTGCCAGTGTGTCCGCATTGTCTTCAGCTCTCAGGGTGATGATGTCCTCGTTTCCAGCACACTTCAGGATTTTGGACATACTGGAATTGAATAAAGGACAATAAGACAAAAGGAAGCAGGATAGTTTGTTTATTGGCTGAAAATACTGACAACTGCTAATAAGGAATTAAAGATCACTGATATAATTACCCAATAGGTATCTGATAATTGATCTGACAAAATGATTAAATGATAACATTAAGATGATTTAATGATACAATTAGTAACACATTCTGTTTTCAAATCTAAGCATTTATTTGCAATGTCAAAAACATGAATTTATTTTAAAATCAGCCAGTTAAAATACATAAACTTTAACGTCCACTTTTATTGTTTCCAAGTGAAAAAAAAAAAGAAACAATAAAAAAACATGTTAATTAAATTCGCTCTTTAATAAAACAAAGGTTAATGTCGACTAAACATGTCTATCCTAATTAAAATGAAATTAGCAGCAAATAAATGTTAATTGTTGAAGTGCCCACTTCAACAATACAGTGTAGGGAGGGGGAGAGAAAGTTCCCGGGTTTAAAGATTTCCCGCCAACTAGAGGGAGAGACTTTGGCGCGCACGTGACGTCACATCCTCGTCACGGAGAGCAGATGTCTCTGAAACTGCGCCCTACATTAATATAACACCATGACATTAAAAATTATGACATTTTTAAGTGCCAGTGACACAAGTGTTGACCGGTTGGTTTTTTTATTACGGTGATAGTAAAAAGTTTGAGAACAGGGCGCTGAACACCAGACAACTTCACCAAGATGGCGACCTTCTTTCTAAGCTTCACGTTTTAACTGTTAACAGTACAAAGGCTGCACCAGTATTTTTACGTGATATAAACGCATCTAGATCATGAACAGAATCACACCGGTTACTTAAACGCATATAAGTCTAAGACCTTTGATAACTTGCTGCCATTTGCTTAAGTATAAGACTGTAACGCAAATGAGCGGAAAAACCGACAAAGTCGACTGAGCAGTTAAAACAAACACACAATTAACTGGGTAGTATTTGCAGTTACTAAATATTTGGGACATTTTACCTGCTCAAGTTGACTCCCATGGCGATGTTTCTGTCGCAGCGGTACGAGTCGAAGCCATCGTGCCTGAGGGTGAGCTGGACCAGGGAGACGTGAGAGGAGTCCATGCTCTGCAGGGAAACACCGGAGGAGCTGACGTCCCAGCAGGCTTCCGTGATCAGATCTTTCAGTGCTTCCAGCACCTTCTTCAGGATGGAGCCCTGAACCAGTCGTGCCTCGAACATGATGGCGGTAAAGTTTAAGTTAAACTACAAAAAAAATTCCTGAAAAGAAGCTTTGAGCCTCGCTGTTTGACGTTATCGTCAACTGGATGTTTGAAAGCTTAGTCTTTGTATAGTGACACTGCAGACGAACAGAGAGCCGACCACACCGTCACTGTCAAACTGAGCTGTGAGCTTTAGGCGCGCTAACCTCTGCATTTATATATTTGGCTTTCTGCGTCATTTCCTGTTCCTGTTTCGTACTTTCCTGCCGCTAAAAAAATAGACCGTAATGTCGGCCATGTTGGAGAGGACACTTGCGCAGCAGTTGTAAAATTAACGGCTAAAACAGGACAATTTTATTTGTAACACACAATTTTAAAATATATATGTATATGTTATGTCCATATTTCGAATGGCCTTTTATCTCGAAAGGATTGATTTGTGTATTATACAATTTAATTGAAATACATATACCAAACCGTTTATGCGTTATACTTGAATTAATATTTTAGCTACAGTCGCAACCTATAGTTGCTTATATTTCTTTGTACTTCAAAATACATAGAATAAAAATCCTAATTTTATGCATGGTTTCAATCTATGTAATATTGATCAAGAAAATGAAAGCATTTTCCTTTTATATTTTGCTAAAAAAATACAAATAAGGTGGACAAAACAAATTAATATAATGCGCTATTGTTTCTTTAATTAATTCGACCTGGTCACATACATTGTCGGTTTGGTACATACTGTATATTCAAAGACACAACTGTATTCTATCAAACAAACAAATGTATATAAAAATGACATGTCTTTACTGCTTTTTAAAACCCCTGAGTATACACACCCGTATAAACCAATCATTGGGCAGGTTTTTGTACAGAAGTTATTAAAGACAGCGACAGAGTATAATAAAGTATCAGCTGTGGCTAACAAAGTCCATCTATGCATTTGGCAAATTTAAAACACTGTTTAGCATAAAATTACCACCGTTTGATTTTTTTTTTTTTAATTTAACATGATTATCATGGATTACATTTTGTTTTTCATAAGATGCATGTTTAGAGACTATTAGACAGGATGTAGTTGGTTGCCATGGCAACAATGGGGGCTCCTGTCGGGACACCGGGGAAAGGACCACTGGATCCAGCGATGTCAATGTGGGAATACGGAAGAGGTTTCTCAGAGTCGATTCCACACTGTAAAAAAAATTAAAATAACAGATTTAAATACACGCTGAGCTGCTGCAATATCTCAAACTGTCAGTGTCAGAGGGTACCTTGTCCAGACCAGAGGCCATGATGAGGAAGGCAGCAGGGGTCTGATGTCCCCGAGGTGTGGCTGAGGAGGGCAGATTGTTGCTCTGCAGAATATCCTCGTACTCAGACTTGCCCTTGTGGAACTCGTAGTCCTCTCGTCTGATTGTGGACACTTCAAACACGTCACCCAAAACCTCTCCAGCTGGGGGGAAACAGATCAAAGGGCGAGAGTTTATATTAGTGCTGAAAAACTTTCTATGGAGTAAATTGTACAGTCACAACACTGACATCTGCTGGATAATTCGCAGTATTTCACCACTAAAAGAGAAATTCAACTAAAAAAAGGCGGTCACCTTCCTGCCACTTGGCAGCGTTCCCATTGCTGTGAGCTGGCCCATTGTCCATGATGATCTTTGAGGAGAAATAAGCACATGTGCATCAGCTGTTTTATTGTTTATTCTTTAATGTCTCAGGGTAAATGGCACTCACTGAGTAGTTGGGACCCATAGCTCTGATGGCGTGACCGGTCAGTGTTGCAATAGTGAAGAGCTCAGGAGATGTCTCATGTAGTGCCTGCAGAAAAAAAGACGAGTTCATTAAAAAAATGCTTCCCTGGGGAAAATGAAACGAAAAGTCTGAAAAATAATTTTTATATTATTAGATTCAGTAGAAATAATTTATTTAAAATGTTCTAACCTTCTCCTTCATCTCACACAGCAGGTCCACCATCACCATACGACCCTCTGCGTCTGTGTTTCCCACTCTGACCCTACGACCAGCACGGGACACCACCAGTTCATCTGCCACATAACAGTCTGAACACACACACACACACACACACACACACACCATATCACACACCAACAGAGTAATGTCAATAAGGGGCAGGCAGAACACAGAGCAGAGTGAGCAGAGGAAGACTGGGTTACACTGACCTGGTCCCACGCTGTTCCTCACCATGGCCATGGAGCCAACAACCTTCAGATGTTTTGGCTTCAACTTTGCTAAAATCTACATACGGAGAAAGTGACTTTGAATGTTGCAGACTGATAGAAGCAAAACAATTGTGCAAGTTTTTGAAAAAACAGGTCACCTGGAAGAATCCAGCCACAGCAGCAGCTCCACATTTGTCTCTGTGCATCCCAGCCATGAAGCCTCCAGCCTTGATGTCAGCTCCACCAGTGTCGTAGGTGATGCCCTGGAAACAGAAGAAAAGAAGAACCAGTCAGTAAAGAGCAGCCAGTCTACACACTCGGTGTTGAGCACTTCAATGATCGAGTTTAAATAATCATCTCTGATGCAGTTGGTCCACGTCAAACTGACAGGAACAAGTCTCACTAGTGGATCTTTGGGCTCCCTCTAGTGGTGCATGAGGAAGCTTGATTTCTTACCTTTCCCACCAGCATGAGTGTCTTCTGGATTGGTCCTTCTCCACAGTACAGCAGCTTAATAACTCTGGCCTGGTGACGAGGCACAGCTACAGGAGTAGAAGTGATTAAAAGATAAATACAGAACAAACACAGATATTTTAAACAGGAACTTTGACTTCAGGGAATGTACAATTGAATCACAATAACAAACAACAAAATAATTTATTTTTAGCTCTTTAAGCTAACATTTATTATAGAGCTTTTAGTACTTCTCATTTGGCTAATATTTTAACTTTTATCTATCAGATTTAAAAATCTGTGTTTGGCCCCATAATATATTGGCATAGTTTAACCATACTCACTTAAATGTGTCAAATGACAAAAAAACATTATAAAGATAGATATGCTCAGTTAAAAAAAATTATTTAATGAGAACAATGAAAAAAAATATTTGGAGAACTTAAAGGGCCATTCTGGACATTTAGCCCAACAACCCCCCAACACTATGATCTGACATTGTTGAAATGCCACCTACAGTTTGCACAGCGGTTGACAGCAGCCAGACAGGGATATTCTTTCTCCAGAAGCTTCAGGTCACTTACAACTTCCACCTGAAGTACCAAGAAAAGAAAATGACTTTCCTTTTAAAGGCTAAATCAATAACTGTTGGTACAAATGCCATCACGTCTCCTTCTTCACCTTTACTAGGCTGTCCCTGAAGAGCTCCTGGACGTAATCAGCTGCACGAGGAGCAGCCATGCGTTCAGGGTCTGATCCTCCAATATCACGACATGCCAGTCTGAGGAGGAGACAGCAGCTGACGTGTAACAACAACTCAATAAACAATACCAAATATCAGGAAACAACATCACATAAACCAGACCTTCCACTTTCCAGAGCAGCAGCCAACTCCACCAGCCTCTGACCCTCAGCCTCCGCAGCTGCCCACAGTCCCAGGACGCACACCTTATGGTTGGAGGGCTTTATGTTCGCCTCCCTCACTTCAAGTGGCTTGATTGGAAGAAGACAAGGTTTGTTGTTTGTGTTTACTGAACAACGGTACATCATATACAGTGAAAAGATACCAAAACAACAGTACTAGTACTAGTAGGGATCAGACTGTGACACAGGCAGTTGACTTCACTGGAATCACCAGGCCATGAGTCTTAGTGACTCAACAAAAAGCTGATAACAATGCCTAGTACTGCAATATCTTAGTATTCAATTTTTTAGCGCATGACAGCCAAACTTTACCAATAAATCTCTCCCCTGCAGTATTCATTTTAATATTTAAATGGCACATTGATATATTGACCCTTGGAGGTCGTCAATAAGTCAATTAAAACTTCACATTTTTTCTAGTGCTGAGAGAATAAAGATGTAATTTTTGTGTTTAAAATAAAATCTGTGTACTCGTTACCCTGATGGGAGTAATGTGTGTGAATAGTATTCAGACTGGTATTAAGTATAATCCTGATATCAACCTGCTTCCATTTGGTTCAGACAGAGTCAAAACACAGCAGCAGAGGTTGATGAGGAAGTAGACATTATAAAACCCTTCATGTCGATCCTTATGACCAGTAAGCTAAACTTACATAACACACCACAGTATTTACCTCAACGGCAGCCTGACACCAGATCAGACATTTAGAACAAAGAGTCAACACAACCTTTTTTTTCTCTTCTGTTTCTCACCATGTAGAGAGCATGAAGGGCCCCGAGTGCTGCCACTAAGGTCGCACTCTTATAGTCCTTGTGCGGGGGACACACAAGTAAGGGGCGCTGCAAACCAGCTTTCAAGGCCCTGGAAATACACAACCAGATGAATAGGAAAAATTGTAAAAAAAAAAAAAGTTAAATATTTAACATACAAGAGCCATCAACATTGCAGGACTGCTGGAAAACATTAAAGCTGTCAATCTAGTAAAGAATAAAAAGTAAAGAAAAGTAGAGTAAAAAATAAATAAATTCATGTTCCTCCACTCACCGTTTAATGCCATTGACTGCCGCGTCACTGAAGCGCCTGATATCATCGTAGTCACGGTTTACTGGGCCAGTGGAGGCAAACACCAGTCTGTTACCGGGCAGACCGACAACCTTGAGAACCACGACTTCTTCACCCAGACCACTGTCGACCTGAAAGAGAAGCATCACATTCACCTTCTTACTTCTCTTCTGCTGTGACTGATCTCTGAGCAGATTGTAAATATTTCTGTGTGCGGTAAAATAATAGTTTTATGAGACAGACACTTACAGAACTGTAGTCCTGCAGAGGAGCCTTCAGACACTCGAGCTCAGAGGGCAGGGTGTCATGGCTCTGAGTCACCAACACGATGCCATCAAAACTACAAATCAAAAAGAAAACCATTTTAACAGCTGTGACCTTTAGCTGAAGGGACACGGTGACTTCTCCAGATACTCACTTGGGGTTTTTGATGTCTTTGGTCCACTCAACGGGCTGAACGCTGAGAGAGAACACAAATACACAACATTAAAGTAGTCATTTCCTCCTCTGTCTGCAGAGTCAGCAGTTCTGAGGGACATGGCTCAGCAAACCCAGGGAGAACGAATCCAACTAAGACTCCACTTCCCCATGGTTAATGATAAGAGTGGGTTAAAGTGTGAAAACCTGACAGACCTTTGAAACAAACTGCGATTCCAGCTGTTCAATAAAGGGCCACAGGGGGCAATTATGTGTCACTGCAGTAAAAAAAAAAAAAAAAAAAAGACTTTGGACTGGTCATACACTCCGAATGAGTGCTGCAGGGTAGTATTCCAGTTCCTCGGCAAATAAGTACACAAGTAAACTTAAACCCAGCAAATAGCCTGGACAGATGAACAGTCGTCAAACGTCACCATCACATTACAAAGTGAAACCTTCTTCCCCCACGGAAGAAGCTGCTGGAGAGAAACTGATACAACTTTGTTGCAATGTCTGTGTATAATTTTTCTGAATGTAAAAAAAGGGGTGAATATAATACTACAAAACATAAAACAAAGGAATTGTGTTAAAGCGGCTGAAAAGAAACACTGTGAATCAGACAGTGACTGTGAGTTTAACTATGTTTTCTTCACTGTTAAACACATCTGTGGTTTTCACTTTAACAGTGAACAGAAAAACAACAAACCGACCGAACGTTGACAAATCTGACTGTCTCACCTGCTGCACATTTTTGGTCCTCCAACCCCGGTATCTTCAGAGCGAAAGGGGCAGATGATATCCAGTGGCTGCTCTGCTCTGTACGCCGACTGATCACGTGACATCCGTGCTGCCTTCATAAACAGTTTATAGCTCGGAAATCCAAGTACCCACAAACAGCCATTGTCTTATACCATTACAATGCGAAGAAAATTTACGCAGTTAAAAAAAAAAGCCATGTACAAGGGAATAATGTACATGAAAAGTCCGTATACTACATGCTGTGTTAAAACCGAAACACAAATCGTCTGGATGAAAACTGATTTGATTCCCTGATATCACATTAAAAGCTTAGAAATTGACAATAATTCCGTCAATGAAATAGCAATAGGCGTAACCGCTGTACAATCAAGCTTTCCAGATTGAATTCCAATTGCTTCCAGTAAAGCAATTTTCTTTTATCTGAAAATAGTTTAAAGAGCCGTTATAAACTTTTTCCATGTTAAGGGGAGGGAGTAAATACGGTTTTGTAAGTTTGTTTTGTGTAGCGTTTGAAAAGTTGTGTTAGGGATTTGTAGTTTTGCTAAAAAATATATTGTAGCGTGTAAGGAAAATAACAAGTAACTAGAGTTTGGATATATCTTAAAACCTCGTATTTAATAAATTAATTTACAGATAAATAAGTCAAATGTTGCCAACAGACGGGGTACAAAAGCAACCCGGAAGTGTTTCAAGCCTCAGCGTAGCGGCGGAGGAGGTTGAGGGTGAGTACGAAGAACTGCCGCCGTGTAGGGGACGCAGTAAATAATACTGCCTTTAGGCACGACAGTACAAAATACTGCATTGGACTACGAAGTTAGTAGTTCTTGCATGTGTAAAATCTGATTAGTTAACGGTCAGCTGGACACTAGTCGATGCAGCTGTTGTGTCGTGTTTCAAGTTAAAACTTTTCCTTTGACCTAAATGTCACAGACTTGACTTTTTTTTAATGATGTCTGCTTTAGTAATAAAGACCACTGGTTAAACATTAGCTCCTGTCTGTGCTGTCTGTAATAATTAACCCTGAGAACAGAGAATCCTGCCCTTCCACTACACTGGGTCATAGTTTGTATCCAGTCCAGTTTGGAGACATGGGCAGGTAGGAACTCTTTAAACACACAGCAGCTATAACCAAAATAAATGAAAGCAGAAATGCTGACATTTAGTAAAAGTCATTGTTACTCCAGCTCACACACCACCTGTTGAGGCTGTGAAAACTGAGCTGGTGTTAAATGATTATCATTCTCAGCCGAGTTGTAGAGATTAATTTGTGTCAACGGCCACGCATCAAGAAAAGATGGCATGTTGTCGTTGGGTATCTGTTATTTGTTAACAGGCAGCTTTTGTCCATGTGGTGACACCTGACAGGCTAACAATAAGAAGAGAAACATCACAGTGAACTCTGGGAGATTGGAAGGAAAACTCATTAGCATCTTGTCTGGTTTGTTTGAGTTCATCACTTTGGTTTTTCTCCCTTAATCAGCAGATGAGACTCCCCGCCTCCAGCTTTTGCATCTTCAGGACTCTTTTACTCTTTTCACGGCAAACGTTGCATCAGCAGAGGCGAAGGTTAAGCGGTGGTGCAGCCATGCGTCTGGTGCAGTTTCAAAGACAAGGCGGCGATGGCGGCGTCAGAGTGGGAGTGGAGATGGGAGGAGGAGGAGGAGGTGTGGTGGATCTGAAGGCGTTTGACTCCTCCATGCCTTCCACGATGAAGGAGCTGCTGGAGATGGGAGACAAGGGTTTGGAGTGTGCACGCAGGTGTCTTTCATCACATGAAAATACATTCAGACCTGTATAAGAACAGTGTATCTAAGACGTTGTTTCCCAAAGACTGGGTCGCAACCCTCAGGTGGGTCGCAAGAGGGTTTTCTTTTTGGGTCGTCCTGCATCATGTTTCCCAGGAGTTTACAAATAATGTCTATTGACTTTGGTCATGGATGTTTGTGACTTTTAAAATATGGGTCCCCAGAAAAAAAGTTTGGGAAACACTGATCTAAGAGACATACTTCTGTAATCCATGGGAATAAGTGATGTAAACCCTGGATCCGATCACTGAAGCCAAGCATACATTGTTGGTTTGACTTGAGCAGGTAAATGTTCTGTCACTGGAAACAAATGTTGCCACTAAAGTGATAGTCAATGTTTGCTCAGATAACTTAGTTTACAGTCCAAAGTAAAAGCATTTGTTTCTCAACAAATCTTCTCTAAAAGTACCTGCAGCTTTAACAGCAGTGGGGAATGATTTGCTAATGACACCAGAGCTGCCTTGTACCTAATCTGTAAAGTTCTACTTTATAATGAACAACTTATGCCAAAGAAGTTTTAATTTTTTGGCTGCCTAGCAACTGTTGGCCGTGTCAACCGTCAGGGTTTGCTAACAATGTTGGAACTTCCTGATCAGGCATTTCTGCCAAATGTTCCTTCTGGAGAAAATACACTTTTCTACTTTTATTCTTGTCCTGCTTTACATCAGTGGCATCATGCTTCTTCTGCAGGCCTCAATATCCCTATACATCATAATAAAAATTGTTTTTATTTTTCTTATTATTTCAAATATTTATGTCCACAGCTGAGCTGCTGCAAAGCTGCGTCGCTCCCACAGCTTTGTTGTATATTATGCTAATCATTTAAGGTGGTTAAAAATACCTACAACTACCAACAACTAGTACATCTGTTAGCTATACTTTGTAACCAATGAGTTACTGTATGTGTTGAATCCACTGTTATCTTTTTTCCTCTTCAACATCTGCTCCAGATCATTACGTTGCTTTAACTCCTCCTTCTTCTCCCCCTTCTCGTCAGGGCATTGGCCTCTGGTCAGTGTGTGTTGGAGCGTTCAGACATCCGCCTACTGGCTCCTGTTTTGGCCCCAGAGAAGGTGGTGTGTGTGGGCATGAATTACCGGGACCACTGTCTGGAGCAGAATGCCCCGATCCCCAAAGAACCGATAATTTTCAGCAAGTTTCCCAATGCCATCACAGGACCGTTTGATGACATCACACTCCCCTCGGAGAGCCAGGTATGTAAAAGTTTAGTTGGAAGCAGTGGAATTTTCAGTTATTGTATTGATGTTTTTTAGGCACGAACAAGACCGAAGTAATATTGTCAACATTTGCTGAGATTCTGCCTGTTTTAACATCAAGACTTTTACACAATGGTGCTTTGGCCCAGGGTTCACCTCCTGGGTAAGATCAAATCCCAGTTAGGGCTGTTGGTACCTTCCAGTGGACTCACCACCTGCAGGACGGTTCAGGGGGGGTTGGTACGGTGCAGTGTGATTTGGGTGGGGAATGCTGCCCTTGCAACCCGGTAACAGATAAGCGGATGAAAATGGATGTATCTTTTACACAAAAAAGGGATAGGAACCATAGTATGTTCAGCCCTGAAAGTTGTTGTAATTTACACAACCTGGTGGAAAAGTTTGTTGCTTAATTTACCATCTCAACACCAGCGTGTGTTTGAGGAGGCTTCAAATTCAGGTCAGACAAAGTGGCTGCAGCAGACCAGCCTCACTGGGCAGAGGTCTATGGCTGAGAAGATGGACTGTTGTCTTTCTGTTTCAGCAATCAGCAGAAAACAAAGTGTTTTGGAAATGTAAATTTAGCTCAATTAATCATGATTAATCAGATTAATCCACAGCTACCTGGTAATCAGTCAGATAAAAAAATGTTGATGGGTTGACAGTCCTAATTAAACACTTTTATAGAGTTTGATTTTGATGATAGACGGTAAGGTGATAGATGGTAAAAACAAAAAGACTGATTGATTGAATGCGTATATTTTCACCCAAAGTACACCCATACGGAGTGAAGTTGATTCAGGGGTAAATGACAATGAATGAACATTTGTGCTGTGAACCTTTTGTTCATGAAGAAAAAGAAATAAAGAAAAAATATCATCATTTGTTCCACAATATTTTTGCTCCTTTCTGATTTCTGCTCGCTCTCCTCTGACTAAAAGGAAGTGGACTGGGAGGTGGAGTTGGCCTTTGTGATTGGACAAAGAGGAAAACACATTAAAGTGAGAATAAGAACACCATCTCTGACGTCTGTGATTCTTTGAGGCTCTGACAGAGAATGCATCGCTTCCATTTTTTTGTGTTCCTTTTTGTTGCTCAGGAAGAAGACGCTCTCTCCTACGTGGCTGGCTTCACTGTGGCCAATGACGTCAGCGCTCGTGATTGGCAGATGAAGAGGAACGGGAAACAGTGGCTCCTCGGGAAAACCTTCGACAGCTTCTGTCCTCTGGGCCCTGCACTGGTAACTGTTGATGCAGTGAAAGGTGAGAGTTCATGAGTGAGGTGGACTGGAGTGGGTGAGGCTGTTGCACCAGCGCAGTGGAGGTTGGGGTCAGAGTGTGGGAGAACAGGGAGGTAGGAGGAGAACATCAAGGGCTAGGTCTGCAGTAAAAAGAAGTTTGAAGTTGAAGTAATTGATCCGAGAGAGAGAGAGAGAGAGAGAGAGAGAGAGAGAGAAAGAGAGCAGTTCTACATACTAAGGCAGATATAAATCCATAGAACATTAATATAAATTTGTTGTTGTTTTTGCCAAGAATTGTTGGCACATTTTCCAATCTTTCCTGCCTATTTGTGGGCTGCCCTTCTCTGACTGATAAATCCAATATGTCATTGGAAGGAGGTGTAGAGTCTGAGGCGCCCAAACCATCTTTAGCGGAACAGCTTCCTGGCAGAACGTGAAAGAATGCGTAGGCTCTTTAAGTTGCTACAGAGCACACTTTTGAAGTTTAAAGCTAGATTGAACTAAACGATGCTAAAGTTAGAAGTTTTAGTACTGTTTGTTATATCCTTTACTTACATTTGACCAATTTCTCGCACATAACTTCAAAAAATTGAGCAACGGCCGCCTCATATGACTAGCAAAGGTTACTTTTGAAAAGCCAATTCTATGCTAGAAAAATCCAAATAACTCATAATTATAGTACAAATATATATTTAATATAGTACTCTTTCTGGGTCCCCACTCTTTTTCTTCACAGTATTTCTTTTCAGCACTCTTTCAGGACATGTTCAGCCGCTACAGCATCATCAAACATTAATATAAATGCCCCAAAAAAACATTTTTCATCATTTATTTTTTGCATTTTGTACATTCATGCTGATGTGGTAATGTTTTCAATAGAGGAGGGAGAAGAGGCTGTGGCCACTCGGTCTTTGAGGCAGACCAATTCAGATTGAAATTGGAAACTGAAGAGCTGCACTGAGGTGATGTGGAAATTTGATTAGCGTGCTGTGTCACATCGGGCAGTGTGACATTGAAGACACTACGACAGATATCTTTCATCTTTACTTTGAATTTGTTTCTTTACTCTCAATGCATTGAGAAGCAGGAAGGACAAATACTTCTCCTGGAAAACTTTAGTATTTCCAGGGCATTTTACGTTTTCCCCCCCTAATTTTCCTATTAGCTTTCCATAATGAAAATTAGGTAAATACATTATTTTCCAGGTCAGGCCAACCTGGGATTTGGGGCCACCTTGGAACATTTTCTTGTTGTTGTTGTACAGCAGTGATTCCCAACCACTGTGCCGTGGCACACCGGTGTGCCGTGAGATATCATTATGTGTTTTCTTCTTCATTTTCTTTCGGGGGTTTAACAGGGGTTGCCACAGCGAATCATTGATTTCCATGTGCTGTGGAAAATTATCCAATTTGACTTAATTTGGCTGAAAACTATTGTTTTTGTTGTATATAATTTTTTCTTTGCTTGTCAAAGCATTAAAAGCAGAAAAAAATGAAATCCTCTTCTGCTTTGAAAACTAAACAAAAGATAATCAGAGCTGTTGAAGAAGATCTTTGTTAGTCTCTTAATTCAGTTCTTTCCAGTTTATCAGCGTTGTCTTCAACTAAACAGGCTGAGATTTTAGTCAATCATGAGATCATTTAAACTGGAAGATTAATATATTCCATTACATATACTTTTTGAGATATTTTTTGTTTGGTGATGTGCCATGGGGTTTTTCCTGATGATATATACAGTATGTGCCGTGGCTCAAAGAAGGTTGGAAAACACACACAGAATACCAATGAAACTACACCTTTACTATTTGTGAGCCTTCCTTTGACATTATGTACTGTAAGTACATGTTTTCCTGAACACTGTGGTCTCAGTTATTAGTACCATGTCTGTTTTTCTCTTCCAGATCCTCATAACCTAAACATACACTGTCTGGTCAATGGAGACACAGTCCAGAGCAGCAACACGGACCAGATGATCTTCAAGACAGCCGAGTTGGTTGCCTGGGTCTCAAAGTAGGTCCATTCGGAATTGTGTGGACCTACTTTGAGATTATGTTTATGCCTGAGGCATCACCAAGTTTTATTACACATTTACATAATAAATTGATTTCTTTCCCCCTCCTCTTGCCTGAATCTCTGGTGAGTGTGGGAGAGCAGAGTTTTCATCTAAGAAATTATGTAAATCAAATTGTATCTGAGACAAATCCTAAGAAGAGCACTCTGGGAGAAAAACTGTGCTGTGTTTATCACTGGCTCTGAGCTGAAACCACATCATTCAGCCCAGACTCCTCCACAGCTGCCACACTCCATCCCCAAAACCTGTTAAATAAATTCTTCAAAAGTCTTTGATTTAATATTTTTACTTCTGGATGGAAAAGGCATCCCACAGCTTCTCCCAGGATCTGTTTTTTTTTTTTTTTTTGCACCAGGATAATTTAGTCAAGTGAATTTTTAACAGATCATGTCTATAAAAGCTGTCTTGACAAATGTTCCACCAGTTGCTGATTCACTAACATTGCAGTCTTCTCTCCCCACAGCCAGTGCATCATGATTGTAATGTTATTGAATCAGTTTTTCCTCTCCTCCCAGGTTTGTGACCTTAAGTCCAGGCGATGTTTTTCTGACAGGAACTCCTCCAGGTGTGGGCGTATTCAGAAAACCACCTGTTTTTCTTAAGGTGATGAGTGATGTTGAAATTTAAAACGAAAAATTGTTGATTCGCACAGAGAAGCAACCGATAGGTGGCACTGTGAAAGAAACTGGCTTTATTTGTTAATGGTTAAGGAATTAAGGACCCACTCTGATCAATTTGAATCCAAAAATCACATGTTCTGTAGTAATCATGATGTTATTCTAGAATTAACTGAAGTTTGTCAGTTGTCTGTTTTAACCAAGGGATTTTATGTTTGTCTTTCAGAAAGGAGACGTAGTGGAGTGTCAAATTGACCAGATTGGCTCAATAATCAACAAAGTCGTCTAAACCCTCAGACAATGGAAAAATAATCAATAAATGACCCATTTCCACTTGACTTTTTTTTTCACACAATAAACAGTCAGTGAGAAAAAAATGTTTTTGTATATATGAAATTAAACATTTACTAAATATAATACAAATAAAAGGATTAAAAAAATGAACTTTTTATCCTGCCACAGAAGCCCTTGATAAATGTGCAGCGTTTAATATTGAAGAATATTTTTTTAGTCATGTGAAAAAGCGGCACTGATAAATCACAGAGCCAACAGCAACTTATTTATAAAAGCAGCAGATGCTATTATATTGGATGGAGTGGAGGGAGGGGGGTTCATCAAATTGAAAGTTAATTGACTTCATTCCATTCAAATGCCAGAGAGAGAAGCCTTCATAATTACTCAGATCAAGGATTTTAATTCATGCACCTGCTTTTTCTTTGTTTTGTGCAAAACGAAAACAAAATCACTGACATTTAGGTAACTGATTTTACCGGTTTTTAAACTCAGGACAGAGAAGATCCATCATATTCATTAACCATTACAGTGCTGTCAATGCTGAAATACAATTATTAAAAAGTCGCTTCTTCGTTTAAACAACTATTACTTAAGTTTGGGCATCAATTTAAAGTAATTTCAGCTGGGCATAAATCGCACAGCTGTCAACACTTTAGACTCAAAGTTCAAAGCAAGAAACTCACGTTAAAGCTTTAAAAAAGATGAAATCAATTTCTCTCCCACCAACTCTGAATACAAAATACTGTATTCTATGGCATGTACAATATTAGTCTGCCCTCAGTTTTTAGACCCTGACATCCTGAGGCTTTGCTTAAATCCAAAGGCAGTGTTATTAAAACTATACAGTGAGGGTGTCAAAAGGGGTAAAAAAATCAAATTTTGGTGCATAGAGCAATGGTTAACTACAATTATTGATAGGTCCATGTTTTTCCCCTTTGTTTTCATACTATCAAGTACAAGTAGCCTATATTAGACATTTATCATTATTTATTCATATAAAATATCATACAACATAAGGTGTATTTTTATATTTTCAAAATCCACCAAACCGGCCGGATTGAACTGCCTACTGGGCCAATTTTGGTCCCCGGGCCTTATGTTTGACACCCGTGCTATTCAGGATTTAAACACCCATATCATATGTGGTCAGTAGTGCCAAAGTTACCAAAGATGAGCTGCAGTACAAATGAATATTTGAGTCGAGGAAAAACCTGAAGATGAACTGGAAGGCAAACACGTGGAAAGAAGAACCTTCAGCATGAGAATCAGGATCCTATCAATTCTTCATACCTGAGGATGGAAGCAGACGTCACAGAGGTCGTCATCATAGATGAACATCACCACCTGAGGCTTTAGGACTAATCTACCTGATTGGGGTCAAGTTTTACAAAGATGCTCCTGAGATCATGCATTGTGTTGTAAAGGTACAAAACGTAAACAGAAACAGAATGAGGGAATGTGCCATGTGTTTGGAAAAATGTATGGAAGAATATATGACAAATATAAAAGTCCAATCCTGAGGGCAGACTTAGAGCTGGTTGTGAAGTAATACTCCTTTACACATTTTTTTGATTGACAAACGATAGAAGACTGTACTGACAGAAAAGGTGACACAAAGTGACGGCACCATCAGGAAAAGAGACAGTTGAAAATCACCAGAGGCTGAGAGGTAATAGAAGCAGCAGCAGTGTCAGTGATAACTGGGCCACTGTGTTCTGTGACCTACAAAATGAGAAAGTGGCTTCAACATCAGAGTCTTACATCAGAAGAGTTCTAAGAACAATTGAACTACTGCCTGAAAAGCCTGAAACTTTAGTCCAAGTTCCAAAAAAAGAAAAATAAAATCCAACTGTCAAGAGTGGGCAACATTGATTTAAAAAGTTTTCAAAGAAATGGAGGAGACTGAAACAGACAAGAGGTTGTGTTTAATAAACCATTCCTGCATTGAAGAGAGAAGCAGCTTCTTCTTTTTTTTTTTTTAAACTTTCTGTCTGACTAAAGTTCTTGTGTACATTTTTTAATCAATACAGATTTCTTTATACTAAAATAATGTGACCATTTCATTAACTCCTTATATCGTGCATGTCTGTAGTTAAAACGAATCATTCATGTTAGAAGCCGCAGGGCTTTTAAAACACACACACACACAAAAAACAAAAGCTTTGAAATAAGGAGTTAGAACGGTTGCCTTTCAGCAACATTTTGGTTTTCGGTTCCATTCCTGGTTGTTCTACATAGAGACTGAGTGTTCTTTCTCTAGGTACTGTACTCTGGTTTCTTCCCCAAATCCAAAAATTTAAAAGCGTGAATTGGGATTATTGCTCACTTTAAACAGACCAAAGGTGTGAATCTGGTGATTTGTCCAAGCAGCAAACCACCTCTGATGACTCCTGTAATATAAAAATAAATAAATAATAAATAATAAAAATAATAAAAAACATCATGACCCTAAAAAAGAGTAAGTGGTAGATGAGCAAAATAAATAAAATAAAAAAACCTCTAACAAAACATATAACAATGTATACACACAGTGTAGCAGTGCTAATAGTATAGCACAGAAATATACATATTAAAATAATCTCTTTAAAGATTAAACATACAATGGATGTTAGGAATATATAGGACATTACAGTACCTGCAACTCATCAGTGGGTGGCAGTAGAGTTCCAATTTGGGCTGATTTTCTTCTGTGATATGGTTTGTTGAAACCTCCCTTCTACATCTGTTCTGATGATATGATTGTAGAGTCTAAAGCATTTCTACCTGCCAACTAATCCGACTGCTCTTTGTGTTCCGTATCAAAAGGTCTCTGTTGAAAAGAGATTTCATAAATCTAAGTCACCTCAGACACATTAAAATGCAGGAGGGAGAAATGCAGAATGTTTAGAAATACGAGCAGCTTAGAAAAGATGGAATCAACACATTTGTAATAACCCCAAATTATTTTATTTATTGATTTATGTATTTTTTGTGGACATTCAACTAACTGTCAGATTGGGTTTATGATGCTACATAAGAATATTTTCATGAACACCAAGAACACACCGAACTGACACATAACCTTAAATCCAATGTTTCGTTGTTGAAAATGTCAAAATGCAATTAAAGCAAAGAGGCAAGAGCTCCCGTCTCAGCTTGTCTCTTTGTTTTTAAATTACAGAACACTGATGCATTTCTCTGACTGAACCAGAAAAAAAACAACAAGTCAAAACTGGAAAACGGATGCTGCTGAGTCCAGGGTTTAACTCAGCATTTAGAGGTACTGTTTGATGAAGTACTGCAGCTTCTGCCTGTTTCCTGAGGACTGGAACAAAGGACTGACATTCAGGGAGACGTAGTCCTCGTTGCGCTCCTCCAAAATGACCTGAGGACGAGATAAACACAAGGTAAAAAGTAGACTGGTATAAGGCCGTCTTCCTTACCTTTGTTTGGACATTTGTGAACAGTCTTATCTTTGACAGTGTACTAGACAAAACAAATGATTCTGAATTAATAGGAGAGAAAAGCTGTCATAAAAAAAAAATAAAAAAAATAAAAGTCAAACCTGAGTCTGAAAAACCAGATTTATTACGTCGGAGACTGCAGTTTCAGTCTGAGCTGTGCTGCAGCGTTACAGCTGCTTCACATGAAAAATTCACATGAAAAAAAACCCCAAACAAACTTCTTTGAAAGTTGTCTTATCATCAGAGGCTAATGATCTGTCAAATCCTAGATAACAGTCATTTCTGACTGAAGCCTAATGAGAGAGTTAATAACTGTCTCAGGAGATCTTTACAAATGCTGCACATATAGGTCTGTGACGCTCCACTTTTAAAGATTCTCAGCCCACAGACAGATCACGTTCAGACAACGCTCAAAGCCTGGATGGTAAAGTTCTACTGAAAGGAGTTCTGCATATTTTTTTTTGTTTAATAAATAATTGCTACTAAATGCAAGATTAATGCTCTAGCGTCTTCATTTTTATGATAATTTCAGGTGTTTTTGCAGTTTCTTTGTCTTCTTAGTTGATGTCTCTCAGTGAGGGTGCCATTCTCCTCTCCTTATTACTTCACACTATGAAAAAAGGGCTCAGGCAATAACAACAAGACGATGATATTACTGTCTGCGGTAAAACCCATTTGTTACCTTGTATTGTTCACTGTATGAAAAAAGCAACAGCAGTGAGAGCAGCTGCAGCTCAATAAACAACTGTCAGTTACTGTGGATGAGTGAAGTTGATTTCGTTGTGTTTCATCTTGAAATCCACACAAAAGGAGGAAAATATGTTTCTAAAAACTTTGCAAATGTTTTTTTAACCAGTGTCTCTGAAACTGAGGTCAGAATAAAGAACGACAACAGCTGTCAGAGGAAACAAACAGGTCAGATCTGTGGGCTATAGTTGCACCATGATCACCTGTGTTAAGAGGAGAGACTGAGACGCAGGAGTTCAGTAGATTATTGGATGTCACAGAGCCTAATTAGCAGTAAATCCACTGATAATTTACTGTATTTCCTGCTTCATCTTGATCGAGGGAAAACTGAAGAATGGAGTTTGGTATCTTTTATTGAACTGCTCACTCACCCTGTCAATGTCCTTGGATACAAAAGAACGGACCTTACTTAGTTTACTAGTTTGTTTTTGCCAAGTATTTACCTAAATGACACAGATGCAACAAAAAGTGAAGTTCATGAAGTACCAGATAATACACTTGTATCTTCATGAACTTCACTTTTTGATGTAGTGAAATGCTCATACACACTGTGCTGTTATTATTGCTTCATATTCAACCCCATTAAACCACTTCATCGCTTCATAAACTCTTTGAATGGACTCTATAAACGCAGTCCATGTCTGGGAATTTTAGAGCTTTATGTTCTGTATCAAACTAATTTTTTGTGTTTAGCAAAACATTTTCAGAAATAGATACAGAATAATGTAAAAGGAGTCAACACATTTACCACATAATATAAAAATGTGTGACAGTGCATTCTGTAGCATAGAACACACTATTTGGTAAGATGTGCACATTTACATCCATTGTGTCAAAACTTCTAATCTGGTTTGAAAAAATCAATTCACGTTTTCTTTTTAATTGAGATATACAGTAGTCCCTCGCTATTACGCGGTTCATCTTTCGCGGATTCACGACATCGCAGGTTTTTGAAACTGTATATATAAAATATACTGTATCCCGGATTGGGATCTGCAAGAGCTGTCACAGGAATGGGACGACGATATGGTTGGATCCGTCCAATTTTGCAACAAAATCGACGACGACGACGACTGCCTACAAGCTACTCTTCGACTGGAAAAAGAAGCAGCGGAAGCAACTGCCGATCACAATGTTTTTGCAGCCTCGCAAAAAAGAGCCAGTTCCTGCTACTTCTATGGATACACCTTTGGAAAACTGTGGAAGAGGTGCTGCAAGAAACGGCACCACCCTCTGAAGAGATGGAAAATCAATCATCGGCTGCACAGTAAAAGTCATCATCAACTTCTTCATCATCATTTTACTGCGCATAAATATGGTGTTACTTCGTGTAAATTCAGTTCTCGCGGCAGGCCTTGGAACCTATCTACCGCGATAAATGAGGGACCACTGTATGTACAAAAAGAGAAATGATGCAGCCCAGCACCAAGAGCAGTGAAGTAACTTTGTTGTATCTAATCCTTCAAACTTGGAAAGAGACTTTTTCACAAGAAATATGAAACTGTCTCATGCATACATCACTGCAGACATGTAGTACAAAACACATGCCTACTTAAACAGTGGCCCGAGGGTCACATTTGGTCCTCACACAACCTCAGACTGGCCCAGTCAATCTTCATTTAAGAAATGCTGCGACAAACTAACAAAATAAAACCACATAGAAACTGGAAAAGGCTACGGAGAAAGCTTTACTATAACTTTGAACAAGTCAGTTTCCTGTGAAGCTCAGATAAGCTAAGCTAAGTCTAAATACCCAAACTATAATTTTCTGGTACCACACTGCTACCTGCTGCACATTACTGACCATCATAAAGTAAAAGCATGTCGTTTAGATCAGTGGTTCTTCAACTGTTTCTACTCTGTACCACCTGAGAAAACCTTGATCTCTCTGAGTACCACCATGATGACCAACATTAGAATATAGCAGCATAGACCTTCACTGTTAGCTTCCACCACAGGAGAGATGTTTAGAAATGTTTAAAGAGATGTTTATGTTTAAATGTTGTATTAATTGTACATAGTATGATTCAGAAAATGTAAATGTCAAAATATGAATTTTCCCCACGTACCACTAGAGAACGTTTTTTTATCGACATTCAGATTAATTGAGAAAAAGAACAAGTATGACTTCCTCAAAACTCTCTTCTCAGTCTTAAGGTGAGCTTTATGTCTGTGCCTAAGAGTAGATAACAGCCTGCACGCACACGCACATGCACACACACAGAAACAAATAAAAAAATGCAGAGAAAGCCTGTCACTCACCCCCAGGTCTATTAGAGTTCTGAGTGCCGTGTGTGCAGCTTCCACTGAGCAGCTCTCTGTGAGATACGACAAAAAAGGCACACATGAATCAAAGGGACAGACAGATATCCACAAACAGAGAACAGAAACCAACCAATAGACACTCAGGGCATTTTTATACTGTGTATTATAGCTGGGTTTTTATTTGACTTGTCCTCCATTGTCTTGTATGTTTTGAAGAGGAACAGGAGCCTGTGATGTGACTGATGCGGCAGCCGTGTTTCTTCCCCTCTTTTCACTTTGTGGCGAGACATTTTACCAGCCTTTAAAGTTCTACCTGCTTGTTTGTGCCAATGTGGGGAGAGTGGAGGAGATATGAGGCTGAGCTCACCATAGTGCTGTTTTTCTTTGAGTGCCATGTCACACAGATAGGCGTGTATCTGTGCCACAAACACTGTTTCTGTGGCAGAAGAAAAACACGTAAATGGAAGAAAACTATTTTAGAATTGCATTGAAATATATAAATAATTCTCCAGCCAGTAACACACCATTATTCACAGACCTATTTGTACATTTGCAACAAACAAGTGTTTTCTTGACAACAGGACTATTAGACATAGACTATTGATAATCAAACAGATATATCCCTGCTGGTCATCCACTGCCCTGTGTGACCGTCAAGTAGCGCATGCAAAAACATAGTTTATAATTGGCATCTTGTAGCAACCCAAGGTTAGCACCTAACGGTAGATTTTTGTAGTTTGTGCAGTCACCAGATGTTTGCTGCATATTTGATGATCAACCACAGCCAGGAAATGTGTACCGTCAATTGCAATTTGCAAATCCTGAACCTACAGGATTTGCAAATTGCTTGTGTTTTGCAACTTGACTTGGATTTTTCTTCACTGTGTAAATAGTGAATTACATAATTGAATTTTGTTCTTCACCAAACTTTTCTCTTTCTCTCTCTACGCTGCACTTTTTATTCAGGTAAACGACATAGCATCAACCTATCACTACTACATTTGTGTGAAGTACTTTGTCAGCCTGCTGTCATTTACTGCTTCAAAAAGGTAGAAAAAGGTATAATTTAACTGGGAAATGGCAGACGTTACCTTGTTCTTTTACTTTAACTCAGCTATTTCTTAAACCTTTAAAGACATTTTATATCTTGGTGCCATAAGAAGCCACAAAGAGCCTTCTTCGTTAAAAATCCCATATTCGTTCAGTACTTTCTGTACATACCGGGCAGAGGGAACTCAATGTGATCCAGGCTCGCTGTGGTCCAGCACAGCGCCCTCAGATGTCCAGCCAGCAAACCGCAGAGGAAGAAGAGCATATCAGGACAATGGCTCGGCTGACTTATCTGGAAGAAGAAGAAACAGGGGGGAAAAATGAGGATAAGAATGTGGGTGGAATAAAAGAGGATTTTCCAATACAATGAGCACATGGTTAGTCACTGTCTGGATAAAGTACAGTCGCAGGATGTAGAGGTGTATTACTTTCAGGTCTGTGGGCTCTGAGGTTCCACACTCCTGGCTTGGCTGCAGAAGTCTATGTGGGTGAAACTGACTGAATATGTACCTCTGGATATACAACTTTATTTAGTGATTCAGATCACGTGTATATAAACTTAAACTTAAACTTATCTTTATTACTCATTGTGACACAGCACAGCACAGCACACCATGCACAACATTTAACCCATCACCAAAGTGAACAGTGGGCAGCCGTGGTCGGCGCCCGGGGGGCAGTGCTTGAGGACGATGCCACCACTGCCCCCCATATATGACTGTTATGTATGGTTAGATACAGTGAAAATGTTTTATGGGGATAATTAAATCAACTGATATTTCATGGGTTTTAAAAGTAAATCTCTTTCGATCCTGAATACAAAATACCTCTGGTTTGTGGCAAAAACAGGACAGTGGAAAAAAAAATATATTTATCACACCCTGCATCCTGAATAGACAACACAGTGCATCACTACTTCCAGTGAATGAGAAATGATTTTCTAAAGTCCAGCTACTCCTTAATGAATCTCTGAACTTTGGAAAGCCACAAGGCCAGAGCTCCTAATGAGAACTGGGCAGTTCATCAACAACAGCTGAACTACGGCCAAGACCACCTGAGGTGTAAATAATGGAGCTAAGCCAAGAGGATGGGAAGTCTGCAGTTTTCTAAACTGAGGAGCAGTTGACTCACTATGTATTTCAAAACGTTTTGTTAAGATGCAGTGTTTCTACCCGGACAGTCATGTGTTTGTGGTTCCAATAGCATCACTGTCACCCCTGAGCGCAGATGGCACCAAGGGAGGGGGGGGGGTTAATGTTTTGAGCACAAGATGCTTCCTATGAAGATATGACATTTTTTTCCCCACAGTGTGTGTAAATTACAGGGGTTGGACAATGAAACTGAAACGCCTGTTGACCAAATGTCCGGCCACGTATATTGACCATGTGGAGCTCCCAACGGACAGTTTTGGTGAAAACAGGAGATTTGAGGTGCACATTTAATTCTGCAGTGAGTTGGGCAGCTGTGGTTTTTTGTTTTTTGGATATAATCCGCGTTACCACCCGGACATCCCTTTCAGACAGCTTCCTCTTGCGTTCACAGTTACTCCTGTTGGATGTCCAGAGACTTGCCGTCTTGGTCACAGATGCGCCAGCAAGACGTGCACTATTATAGAAAGAGATGTCTACAAATGAGGCAGATCAGGACACACTTCTCCGTCTCAGGGGATTTATTGTATTAAAAGTTTCTGACCAAGGCAGGTCCAACAACGAATCTCATCTAAACATTCACCAACAAATCCCAACATCTGATACATGCTGATCCTTTGTATAGGCATAGACAAAAAATGGTGTTACGTAACATTTGACTGTTGTTCTGACCAAACATGGTCAGACACTTTCCAGATGCCAACATGAGGATGTTGCCTAATGTTTGGCTCACATTCAGCTAGTAACTGGATAAACATGTTCATTTACCCAGGTCATCTTGACCTGTTCTTGCATGTGCCTGTCTCTAGTCTTCCTGTTATTCCAGCGTCAGTTTGGCCTGATGAACATGTCAAAATATAGCAACAGCTTCTTCTTGTCAGTGGTTGGCGTTTCCTGTTATTCTGGTCTTTACATTATTTTTTTCTCTACAGCACCAAATATCTCTTTTCAACCCTGAAATGTCACCCATAATGTAGAGTGCATTGCAATATTTTAAGCAAAACTGCTCTGCTAATTGAACATTCACACCACTAGACTGGTCAAATTAAGCCAAGAAACCTCCAACACTAAATTGGCCAGTGTTTCAGTTTCATTGTCCAACCCTGTGACAAGGGGATGGATTGGAATTAGTGGATGGACATAGCACATCATTCTGCATATCTGTTAAAATACTTACTTTTAATTAACTGTACAAATCACTCACTGTGTAGAAAGGTTTGAACCATATTCAAAACACAACATCAGTATGCATGAATGTTGTGTTTGTTTATTGTAGTGGAGATACTGCGGCTAAAAAAGGTCTGTGTCAGGGCATACTCTTCCATGTTTTTCAGCGCAAGTATGAGTTGCATCAGGGGTTTGTGGTTGTCATGTGAAGGAGATGGAGGTGCACAGTGACTTTCCTCTGTACCTTGTAGGAGTGGGGGTCCAACACTTCACAGTCAGAGTCACATTGGCAAGGGTCACCAGCCCAGATCAGAGGATCTTTCTTCTTCCAGAAGTCACAAACAGGAACTCCCCTTGAAACCTGAAAGGAGTGAACAGCACAATCGACAAAAGCAGCTCTGAAACATACCATGTACGATTAATACCACATTTAAACATAAACATATTTCTAAACATTTCTAAACATCTCTCCTGTGGTGGAAGCTAATAGTGAAGGTCTATGCTGCTATATTCTAATGTTGGTCGTCATGGTGGTACTCAGAGAGATCAAGGTTTTCTCAGGCGGTACAGAGTAGAAAAAGTTGGAAAAACACTGGTCTAGAGTTTATGTTTTGAGCTCAGATAATTTTAAAACAACACAGTAAACTTAGTAACCACGAGAGCAACACCTTCAGTAAGATCTGCCCTTCAACTAATTTTATCTTCTCTGAATCCTGTTATTCCTCATTTACCTGCTCTAAAACTTAGGAAGAACTTATGTTAAGGAAACTGCTCCTTTCAATGATCTGAATCCTTGGAATTGTTAGTCTGCTTGCTTAGTAATTCTGTTTTTCAAATTCCATGATACTCTCAGCCAGACAGATAAAGGCTGCCTAGTTTCCTCACACACTTTGTTATTAAAAATGTAGTTACTTCAGTCAGTTTATAAAAGTTGATAACTGCAAGTGTTTTTATTCTAACATTTTGATTTCTGCAGAGGAACTGTTATTTTTTCATGCAACTGTAATTTTGTCAAAAAAAAATCTAAATTGTTTAAACTAACTCCAGTACAGAGTTAATGCAAACCAAAAAATGTGTTTCCTTACCAAATCAAAATCCATAGGAGAATTTATAAGACATAATCAATATTGATAGTCGTAGTAATAATAAAATATAAAACACTCAAATTTTTTTAGAAAAGTGCTCTTACTTCCTCCATGATCAAGATACCACAGCGAACCAGGCTGTGAATGGCATCCAAAGCAAAACTCTTGGATGACTGACAGGGCTGGAGAAAGAGGAAGAAAGCAGCGGTCAGCTCTATGGTGGAGAAAGGTCATGGGCATAACAGACGTCAGTTCATCCATCAAGTATCTAAAAATTCAGCTGACGGAGTGCATGAGGAGAGTAGTCAATGCTGAAGACATCAAAGGAGGAGAACGATAGATGCCCTGGAGGGAGGAGAAAGGAGGTGATACACGGAAGAGCAGAGCTGAGAGCAGAAGAGACAAGAAAGAGAAGCTGCTCAAATGAAAGTTGGCAAAAAAAAGATAAAGCATTTCCGATTGAGGATTCTGTACCCATGCAGAGCACAATAAAGCACAGAATAAGAAACACACACACACACACACACACACATACGTTCATACACTTGTCCACACAGATACACCGATCTCAAGCTAAATAAATGACTCAACTCCATTGAACACACACTAAATAAGAAACACCAGGTGTGTGTGTGTGTGTGTGTAACAAATTAAAACTCACTGGCAATAAGCCTGGAGACAAGAGATGGCAGAGCTGCAGGGCATGTTCAATCAGCTCGGACTGGCACAGCACCACATCAAACCTTGTGACACCTTTAACCTCCGCTCCGTCTGCCCTGCCACCCCTGACCACGTAGCTGATGCCACTGGCAGAAACCTTGGACAGCATCGCAGACACTGCGCACGCTGGGAACAGAATACAGCTCAGACTGATCACGCACATACAGGGAATGTGACTAAATTCAACAAAGTAAAAACATATTCAACCACAAAAGCATTCTTCACAAACTTTATGACGTAAGACTTTCACTAAACAGCAGGTTTTTATCTGTTTATACTTTTGTACATTTTTTATTTCTGGCAAATATGTGTGTCATTTTCAGGGTCATGTTATCAAGCGTTGTTATCAGATGTCCTGATCCCGTCTGTCTCACAACAGCAGCAGAGGAAAAGCCACAGGCGGTTGGTTTTTTTTAGCGATGTTATCTGTTTCTCATGGAACTTTTTCCACTTTTTCACTGAGTTGAGATACTTTGTGTAAATTCTTGTGTTCTGTAAACTGGTTCAAATTAACAACCTTTCTGTGGGTCATGAGAAGGCCGTCACTACAACTTTTTATTATTTGATACTTGTCTGAACAACATGTGAAAAAGGAAAAAGCTTGAGTTTATACATATGTATATATATCATAGGTGTGCTTCTTTAAAGTCAAGAAAATCTGATCTCTAACTGAATGGTAAGTGTCATCTGAAGGCAGTTGCCAAAGTGGACCACAGAAAAAAAAAAAAAAACTTCTCTCCAGTATAAAGAGCCGATCTGTAGACAATATTACCTCTAACCAATATCTCTTTCATTTGGCAGAAAGATTTATTCATACTGATGTAAAAACAATTTATTCCGGGGTGAAATATAAATCTGTTTATCTTCGTTTCAAATGCATGAATTGTATCTTTTTGAATAAGATTTTAATTAAAAAAGTTCTGCAGCTATTTAAAAGCAGGCTTTAACCTTGAGTTCTGAGTTGGTGAGTCTTCCAGGTGAAGTACTCTCCCTGCCTTTTAATTTTACACATTCTTTTTATGTCTATTTTATATACGTGAGGTAATGTCGTTTGGAACTTGAGTCATTCATTTATCGTCTTCTATTTAATCCATGCCGACAGTGACAGCCATGGAAAAAACAGACACATTTTGTGCAGCGTCACAAAAAAAAAAAAAAAATTTACTCACCACCAACGACTTCTGATATAAAGGTCTGAAGTACAGTCTGCCTTTGGAGACTCAGGTGAAGAATGGCGTGGAGTGAGGGACGGGGCACAATGTAGGGGTCCTTACTAAAAGAAGAAACCAAATTTAAAAGTTCAAAGTTTAGGTTTTGATTAATTATCTGATATCATTATCAAAATTTAATGAAAAATACAAAAACAAAAACAACAAACGACCTGGATGGCATCAATACAATGATGTATGGTGCGAGCAGAGAGAGGGAATAGCGGACAACATCCGCTATACTTCCCCCAAAACCAACATCTCTGTTCCGGAACAACATTTCCTCAGTGAGCCAAGTCACATCGCCACACAGGATAGACAGACTCACGCCCTGAATGGAGCAGAGCATGGAGAAGTTATAGCTCCACAATCTGACGTGAGCATTACCATCTGGTGACATTGTTGAGACACTGGTGGCTGTGACTCAGTAAAATCACTGTCACACTCCAATGAGCTGGCAGGAAATCCAATTCAGTTTATGTTCCTCTTAGAGTTCTGATTGATCCTTGGAGGCGCAGGTTTTAACACTGACGATAACAAGAGCAAAAATGATTGGGATAACACACATAGCGACACAGGTTGGTAATCAGACCTGTACCTTTCTTTGTTTGTAGAGCAAAACACTGGACACCAGGCTGGTTGACATGGCGGCCGTGTAGGAATTTACCACTGAAAAGAGAGGCTAACGTGAGCACATACATGCATTAATTACCTAAGTTTATAAAGTTTGTTATTTTTAATGACTCAGCAGAGATGGATAATCCTGCACGTACAGAAGAGGAGGTGGAGGATGACAGCCACACTCAGGTCTCTCCTTGGGTCCTCTGGCTCATTGGGATCAGATGCATAATGAGAAGGCAGGAACCATGACATCCTCCTCCGTCCAAATACACTCACAGTTCTAAAGAAGAAAATATGAGATAACGAGCAAAAGATGCCAGACTGACTAATTATAACTTCTGAATGGAACACTTGCCATAATGATAGAATATTTAAAAATGCAGTGAAATAAGGCTCCTGTCCATATGATGTAATTTTTCACACTCTCAGGAACCTTCAAAAATCTGAAAAACGTCACGGTAAAATTAATAATTTTTCATTCATTCCTTTTCTAACACTTCATGGTCACGGTTGGGGGTCTGCAGCCAGTCTGCATGGTTTTGGACTGTGGGAAGAAACCAGACTATGGATGTTCACTTTGAATCTAGTTTATAATTGTATAATTACATTAGCTTTTCTTTTTGTTTTTTCTCTAAAAGGTCTGACAAAGTGGTAATGATTTTTACAACACATTTTGATTGTTTATTAAAAAATTACATAATTGTGCTGATGATTAACTTTAAAGAACCAAACTGTTATAAGAACAGAATACTATAGATGCTGAAATTTCAGGATGAGACAGAAACAAAACAAAATTCAGTCAAACACATTTAGTGTTTGTGTGTGTTTAACATCTCCAAGGATTCAGTACGTGCAGAAAAGTAACTTTATAACTGCAGCTGTATCACTAAAACAAAAAAATATGGCGTACACACCGCATTTTATTAGCAGGTGGTTCGAGGCTGGCTGCAGTGATAAAAGTGTTATATATGCTCCTCAGCTGTGGAGGTGAGAGATGTACATTTACCAAGCACTTTTTTTATTAACACCTTGCTAATTAGCTATCCCTTCACACTCAAAACAATCTCCACCCTCAGCGTTACAGAATACACAAGATGTTAAAAACAATCCTTTGAGACTCTGGTTATGTTCTCACAGTTGTGTGGCATAATTACAAACTAAAATGCTGAGGTTGTTCTGACCCCTTTCACACAGTGTTTTTAGTGTCGTATTTTTCACTGAAGTTCAATGCAACGTATAGGAACGACTAAAGCAGGGATGTCTCATTTTCACCCGGGGCCATATTTACAATACTATTCCCCTTGAAGGGCCAGTTTTAAATAGAAGACTGTTCAGATTCTGTGGACTGGTACCAGTCCATAAGTCATTTGGTACCGGGCCGCAGTGGGACACAGTGAAAAAACGTACTTAATTTTTACTAATTTACTTAATTTAAAGCCCAGTCATATCCATTTACTTTCTTTATTTAAAGATAATCTGGCAATATTTTAAAAATAACAGGTCATTCAGACTCTGATACAAACAGAATAGAGTCTAAAGGATGTTTTATTTTTGAAAATTTAATGATCCTTCAATGCTCAGCACAGTGCTACCAGGCCGTAGTAACAGGTGGTACTGGCTGACCAGACCTTGGAACAAAGAAGGTCAGGCACCACTGGTATAGATGTAACTACTCCATAACAGACTAATACATGTTTCTGCAATTGATTATTATTTATTCAAGCTACAAATATGATTTGTGTAATAAAATTGTTTTTTTATTTTATTTCTCAGGTTAAGAAACTCTGCTGCATGAACTTTACTGAATTCTGTTTAAGCTCCCACCAGCCCCACAAAACGGCTTGGCGGGCCGCATTGGGCCCTTAGGCTCCTTACGTTTGACACATATGGAGCAAAGGATGACTGTTGATATTATTTATGTAGATCATGTACATGACAGGAACAAGCAGGCTGTAAGGCTGAATCCAAACTTGGACTGACAGGTAATGAGGGAACGAGAAATCATTCTCCACAACTGCATGCACCACCACTGGGATTAACAGTCTGAGCAGAAGAATGTGCTGCTCTATAACCTACAACAATGTTCACAGACCGTATGTGCAGCCACATTTAAGATTGATGCTCTGTACGTCATTCACAAAGTGCAGTCATAATGCATTGCCACCATTTGTTTGATGTAGTCGACAGTATAGTCTTAATGTGGAAAAAAAAGGGTTAAAACCATAAACCCTTGGGGAAAATCGTCCAAGTGTCAGACTCTAACATCTAAAACACCAGCATCACAACTAGGCACTAGTAACAGAAACTGTCAAGTCTGTCTGTTCCCCTAAATAATACCAGTTACATTCCAGTCATCAGCCTGATGTTTGAAGTGACTGTGAATCTGGATACTAACCTGTTCATGCACTGCTGCAACACAACATATTTCTTGGACTCTGAAGCAGGTGTAGAGTATAGAGCCTTTAGAGGCTCAGTGAGTACACACTGCAGTTCTTTGTTTCCATTTTTTTTAATCTAGCAGCCACATTGCTCTGCAGCAGCTAACCAGACACTGGCTGAGTGTGATGATATTTTCTAGTTGTCCTTTCCCTGGCAGATTGTATGATAATTAGACAGACTCAAGAGGATAAAAACTTTTACAATTTGCTATCAGTGCCAGTGTAAAGACATTTTAATTTTGCAGAACGTAGTATCACAGCAAATGGTTGTCGTGATGTGTTCATTTTTTTTTAGTAACAATGCTCGTTTATCCCTACAGGTACACACATACACAGGTAGTTTTAATTACCCATTGTTGAGGATGGCAGGCATCAACAAGTCCTGTAGAGGGAGCCAGTCTACTCTGCACCTATCTGAATCTAACATCTCCTACAGGCAGAAAAATGCAAACACAAAGGAAAAATGAATAAAGGATAAAAAAACCTCCAAAGTGGAACCTTGAAAGCAAAATATACGCTGAACTGCTGACAACAACTGTTCCCCCAAACTGCTATGATGTGCAAGATAGTGTCATATTAGAGGTTTTTAGAGGTCGGCAGACGAAAACACTGGAAACCACAAATGCCTAGGATAAATGAGTCTTTTATGTACGTCAGCGTGTGCACCTTTAGAGAGAAGGGCTGAGCAAATTGGATCCTCACACTTCCTGTTGGTCGTCTCCACAAAACGGACCAGAGCCAGTGAAGCAGTGTTCTCAGACCGACCTGCAAGGACACACAACATTCCAACAGTAAATCCATCAACTAAAGTTCTATAACTAAAAGAGTGTGTGCACATCAGCTGTGTGCTGTACATGAATCACAACATCCTCATGATTATTGACCAAACATAACATCCACTACCATTGACGCTAACTGGGAGTTAATAAAACAGCGTTTTTGGATATTTTGTGTATCATCAGTAATGTGTGAGACCAACAGAGATTATTAGTTTATTAGTTTATTATTATTTTAATAATAATGCAAACAAAACCTAAATATATTCACGGGGATTACAATATTATTTTTTCAATATTATCAATACAGGTTTTATTTATTCATGACAATGGGACACAGTTTAAAACAGGCTAAATTAGCTATTGTTAGTTTCGTGCATTGTTCCCATTGACATTCAATCAAAAATTCTCATATACCTAAACATTTATAACATAATATATTTTAAAGCAGCAAAATTTAAATTGTAAAATAATTAATGGTGCGCATTTGTGTATTTATCTCACTGTTGTATCTTTTACAGTACATCTTCTTTTATGGTACAGTATGCACTTGTCCAAGTCCATCTCACCCTGTCCTCAAACCACTTGTCCATTGGTCTTTGAGGACACTACTATTAATGACGGCTCTCGTTAAGTGTGCGTCTGTTTCAGTGTGCGTACACGTACCACATGCACGTTGGTTTGGGGCACAGAGTCGTAGGAGATGCCCACAGGGACAAGGTTGACGTCAGGGACAGATCCCTCTTTGATGAGCTGTGTGATGTGAGCCAGCCACTGACCACCTTGGCCGCTCAGTGCCGATACACCAACACTCAGGGCCTGGCCTTCATGTAACAGCTCACATACCAGCTGGCCGGAGAGGACAGAGAGGGGATTAGAGGTCTTCCTGACATCCCATTTAACATTCAACTCTTGTCATCTATTTTAAGGACAAAAAAGTCACAGCTTAATAAAAAAAAAGCTATGGCTGAACAAGTTCAAAGATCGCAAAATGAGTGAAACAATGAGCAGAAAGTGAAGGGGACTGTGGGGATTGGGCGGAGGGGTGGAGGGTGAAAGACCACATGACATTTGGAAACACTTCTCTTGCCCCAAGTACTGTTTTCCTCTCGCAGATAAGAACAATTCAATTACCATTGAGCAGAAGCTAAACAGACATACACTCAATAAACAATAAAGGTCTATTAACATTGAAATAAACCAATAAACAAGCCTGCCTTCTCACGCATAGCCAATATGCTTCCTCACATGGGTGGTAAATGAAAAAGCAAGCTTCCTGCTCCAATCGTAAACAACCTGCTCATGTTCCACTGTGGCTCGGCTCTTGTAGATTAATGTCAGGCTGAGTCATTCTATCGAGCTGTCGGCCTCAATATTGAGCTTAATGAAGGCGGTAACTCTTCAAATGAAATACATCTTTGGGCAAAGTGATAAAAGGAACAAAGGTCTCTTCTCAAACAAGACTGGGAAGACTAATTGATGATAAATATCAGATAATGGAGGCACTAACGCGTCGGTTACGAGAAACTTAGTTGGAGGAAACTGTCATGGGAATGGGCCTCAAAACACAAACAAATACGTAAATAAGTACAAAATCATCAAAACCAAATCAAACCTGCTCATCCTTTCAACCCACACAATCAAACTAACCACTGTTATTTTCTTTTTCTGTCCACCCCCACTCATTTCTTTGTCTCTCCAAAATAGTCCAAGACTAAAGCTCCTTTGTAATTTTGAGAATGTACAGCAAACGCGGCTGGACTGGGGAATTAAAGAGCAAAAAAAAAAAAAGAAAAGAAAAGAAAAATCAATTGTGTTTTGGTTAGGGAGCTGACTGAGGTGACAGGGCAAATAAAATGACTGTGTTTTAGGAAATTAGTAAAAATGAAATTATAGTAAACACAGCTAAGCACAATGCACCACCCTCTCCATCCCCTGTTTTTATAAAAGCACATTAACATGTACATGTGTGTGTTTCAGCAGATGATTTTCTTTTCCTATGGCTGTGACTGTCAATGGTATATACTGTAGTCCCAGAATCATTTCTGAATGTTAATGATGAATATTTGCATATGTGAAAACTGTTCTTCAAATCCTTCTGTGACTCAAAGAGCTCAAAAGAATCTGCAGTGCTCACTCTGAAGAAGCACCACCGCGGCTATGTCGACGTTGTTAAACTTTTACTTTAAACAAAACTACATCAGTTAATAGACCTGTCTGTTCTTACATTCCACTGATGCCGTTCAAAGAGATTGCTTCAATGATTCGCCATTTCCGAACAAAGAAAACAGAGGGGAAAAAAATATTGCAAATGTCCTGTTCTGACAGCAGCCTTTTTGAGGACTGCTTCATTTGTTATCACTTGTCTTGTTCATTATTCAGACACTGAATTAATTCACCATCAAGCTTTTCTATTTACAACAGTGTATTTCTTATCAGTATCAGTAGAGTTGAAACCTAAAGTATTTGCTTTGTAAATCAGTAGTTAGTTACTAAGAATTGCAATTATTTACTTCTTTTTTATTACATACTGCAGTAGTAGGGGGAAAGAGAATACACGTATAACAAATAAGTAAATGTAATCAGTAACAACAACTGTTTATACAACCCTGGTTATAAACACTATACTGTGCAATTTTATACATCTTCTCTTAATTTTTAACCTTTGAATACATTTCTTAACTTCTCAAAACAAAAACAAGTTATTAATACCCCAGTAGGGTGTGCTGTAAAGACAGAATGTGTGGGTCTACAAGTCAGTGAGTGTTTTTTAAAATATATATACATATATACACACATATGTATAAATATATACATCTAAATATATACATAAATATGTATACATATATAAATATATACATACATATATACATGCATATAGACACACATATATATACACACATACATATTTATGTATATATCAATATATACATCTAAACAATGCAAGTTTTTATCCAATCAGTGGACCAACTATTTAGGTCAGACTTACAGACTTCATGACCAGTGAGTACAGACTGTCCATCTCAGCTTCCTGCTGTGTCTCAGCTGCTGACGGTAGAAGCAAAACACCTACTTTCTGCAGGACTGATCTACAAGTACAAATCATGCTGTAAATGACTGTGAACTTTTAATCTCACACTCTGTTAAAAATTTGAACCCTCTTTCCTTTCTTTGGTGGAGTCAAAGTCTAAATGTTACTCCGGGTGAAAGATGCCGAGTGGTAACACGCTTACTCAGTTTTATGTGTCTTTGCATGGCTGGTGCATTACCTTAGGGGGGAGATGTAAAACTGTGGAGGACACAGAGTGTACGGGACTTTCAGACTGTGACAGAATAGCACCAGAGGGATGAGAGCACAGTCCACGACACTCTGACGCACATAAATGTAAACCAGCAGAGATCCCTGAATCACAGGACAGAGGAGGATTTAGATGAGCCAGATTCCCAACATATCCATTCATAATGACCAACAAAGGTGGACTTTGCTGACTGAAACACAGATTAGCAGTTATAATGAATCTTTCTGATGATCACAGCTTCTGATTCTGACTGTGAGTGGGAACAAGTCTATAAATCTGACCAGCTCTGAACCAGGTGAGTACGTTCTTTTATATTAAACAGACTAAGCTAGAAGAAAGGCTGCATTTAGAGAAATGTTGACTAGATGCTGACATTCACAGAAAACAATGTGCCTCAGCAGGAGGACGTCTCGCTGAATTCACCTCAAATCATATAACAGAGTGCATTTAATTCATGCAAATGTTGGAGCCTTTGTAGCAGAAGCTGAAGTCTGTTATTGGCTTGTTATTTAGTCAAGCGTGAAATTAAAGTGGTGTGGTCTTCAGTAGGATAATTAAGTGTATAATTGGGAGTTATTGAAACTTGGGATTTTGCAATGTTTTAGGGAAAAGGCACAGTTCACATTTTAAAGATGTGACCAAGCCTAACTTTTGCTCTTCACCATCTAAAAAAAAAAAGGTCTAACCACGATCTAGTTCCATAGCCTAAGTAGGAATGAGAGGAGCCAATGTTGCAAAAAAAAAAAAAGTTAATTGTGTCGACAAGAAATGTTGTCAATTGTCCTCAATTTTCTCAAGAATTAAAAAAGTACAACTTCAACCTAAAAAAGTGTGTTTGTCAATGTTTGTACCTCTTTAGAGACTTTTTGTAGAGCTGCTAAATGGTTCTGCTTGACCACAATGCTTTCAAAGAGAGAAGAGAACATCTTTAGCATCACCCAAGCCATGAACCTAGACATTGGGTAGGGAGAAAAAAAAGAGAAAGAAATGACATGAGGTGAGCTCAACAAGCAGTACATTCATCAGTCAATGTGACACTGATTGTCCAGATGCTTCAGCAAACAGAGTAAGGAGAGAAGTATGTGCAACAATGTGGTGGTTAAAGAACACGGCTGAAGTAAATAATTTAAAAAATGATCAGAAAGGAATAATAAAAAAATGAAATGATAAAGATAAAAGTTGGCTTTAATGAGGACAGACATGGCATGAAAAGATTAAGACTGAGGCAGAGGTTATATATTACACTCACATACACACACATGCACACACACACAAGGTTTTGTGAGCACTTCACAAAGTCACAGCCTTGTTCCATAAAGTTTAATATTTGACATTTATGCTTAATATTTATGCCCACAGTAACTGTGATTTGACCCTTATTCTAATCTTAACTTCAAACTCATTTCAAGGATTTAAAAATATGCCCACAAGTATAGCCACACAGACACACACTCACAAAAACACACACCCAAGGGTTTTAACCAGCCAGTGCCAGCTGTTTAATGGGACATTTACATGTGTCTGCCACTTAGAAGCCAAAATGTTTGAAAATTTTGGTCTTGGTTTTTAACATCGTCTTTGCATTTCAAATATTGGTTTAAACCTGGACTAGACATGAACCTTGCACATCATCACTTAGCAACCGTGTAGCGTGAAAAGAGCTGAAGAGATGTAAAATGTCAGATTTAATAAGATGAGTACACAAAAGAAGATTCCAACTCTGACAATTTCTATGTATTGTGAGACATGCTGAAGTTGACAGACTTCATTTAAATTCTAATATATTGGCAAAAAAAATATTCTGCAGTAAGCATCCTTTTTTGTTCATGAAGAAACATTATTATATAAAAAAAGGGCTGCGTTACTTTGAGTGATGATGTAATTTTTGTTTTGTTTTAACCTTTTATCTTTTGTTTCAGCTATGTGAAAGGTCAAAATGCCTCCCCGTTAAATCAATAAAAAAAAAAAAACTCATCTCATTTATGTAACATAATCTACATACAACACTCTTTGAACATTTGGCCCATCTGTCATGATGTAAACACCAAACACACAGACCTCAAATGGCTGGGGGAGATGCAGGTCTTAATGAGGGGAAGGAATGGTGCGAGGCGACCGATTTGCCCTCGGCCGCGTTGACCCTCAGGTTTGTTTTCCTCGGCTAAAAGTACCTCCTCCACACTGAAAGACACGGTCATAGGACAGCAGGGTTAGGACCACACAAACCTTCACTTGTGTTGCGCACACAGGGAACCCGCCTCCATGTAAGACAACATTATCCCCAAGTTGAAGGGTTATGTAAAGGTTAAACTTAATTACATTAAAGCGGAGACAGCAGCACATACAAAACGAGGAGTCTAAAACTAAAGGAGAAGAGGAGAAAGTGTGATAAGAGTTCCTAATAATCTCATTTTTCTTCATCCACTCTGCGTACACCTCATGAGAGTCTTTATTTTGTGCCAATGTGTCCCTTATCTCGTGAGCCACACGCCTTTCCTCTTTTTCCTCCCGAATTGAAAGAGCAAGTTTCATTTTCTGTATCTCTGCTGATCATTCACTTAATTCTCCTCTCACACATTTTCTCTCATTTATCTTCTTAGTTTTCCTTTCGGGTACCTGTTGCTCTGACAGACTCTCTCCACTCTGTTGCTAACAGGGCTGGCATAAACCTCGCAACCGCTGACAAACAGAGCATAGCAAAATCTTTTCGCCAGGCAGCCTCTGTACCTATGAGAGAAAACAGCCAAAGGTTTGAACATTAGCGACTGACAAATTTGTCTAGATTATCATTTCATTTTATTTATGGGAAGAACGTATTACTGAAAAACAACAGTATATTTTCAACACTGGCCAAAACAGAATTACTTAATGCTGGATCACAACCTTGTCTGTGTTTCGTTGACGCTGAGCAGGTCACGGAAACCCAGAGAGGAGCTTTGTCCAAGTTTATTGTACTGAAACACAACAACAAAAATACAATAAAAGGGATAAGGTCCTTAATAAATGCACATAAACAACAAACACCACATGGAACACAGTGGCAGTTGTTTGCCTTTTTTGGGGCTTTTATATATATATTCTGCTGTTAGAATTCGCCAGGGTGAAGAATGATATAAAAAGTTACAAAAACGAAGCCATCCATCCAATCCAAAAAAGTAAATGTAAAATAAAAGTTTGAAATTGTGCAGACAAAGCCCATATCTGAATTCTAACTTTTCTAACGTGGTGCCACCTGACTGACGCCTTCTAATCCCACCACAATAGCTTTTGTGAAAAAGTGGGCAAACATTGACAGCTCTGGTCAATCCAATTACAATGTAGATATTGCACTTATACACTAACATTTTTTTTTTCATCTAATTTCTATTTATTTCTCAAACCTAATGATTACAGCATGCTTTTCTTGAGCTACTCTTGCAGAAGCATCAGTGCCACCAAAATCCCTTGGAGAAATCAATAAAGTTTCTTAGTCTCATTTTTATTCTGAGCCCTTAATGCACTACTTGCACTTTATAAACAAAGTAGAACCCTAAAGTCTGACTAACCTTGACCAATGACCCTTTTTAACTGTTCCAGCAATATACAGAAATGCTTATTGTTGATAATTTTTAATGTTCATGCTGACAGCATTTAATGCAATTTCAAAGTGGAACTAGTACAACATTACTGTCGTATAGACAACACGTTGTATAGAGCATACTATAAAGTTGGAGGTTTCATAAGAGTCTGTAAAAACTCAATATTTGTAAGAAAGCTATAAAATGTGGCAGCTCAAATAGAATAGTCAAAACAAAGGGCTCAGGTTCAGTACCCACGGAAAGAATGTAAAACACTGCACATGACTGATTAGACACTGTTCTAGTTTTGTAAACATCAGATTCAGTGTCTAAATTGAGTCAGTCAAATTATTCATGCAATTATATTTTTAAATAAATCCAGAATTCAAACTGAACCGTTTTATTTACAGAGAGTAGAACTCTATTGTCTTTCTGCCTTTTTTTACTTAGACGTACACTTTGACCCTCACACCACACTCACCATTCTGTCTGGAGTGCACTGGTGGCAGCATTGACCCAGGGTGGGTCTGACCTTGGCCAGACAGGGAGCCACGAACATCATCTTTTTCTGCATCGCCAATCGCCATGACAAATAAGAGAGAGGACACACAAAGTACACACAGAGTGCACACAGTAATTCAATGAAACCGAATCAACATCCACTTCAGCAGGGCAACATGAAAAGAGTTGGACTATTTTTGACCAGGTGTCGGAAATTTCTCTGAAAGACACAGATGGTGCATTCATTTAACATGAGTGACCTATTTTTCCTCCGGAAAACTGATATATGGTATGTTACTAATGTAAAATGATTGGGTAAAAGCAAAGGCTGTCAAAATTAACAAGTGTAATTAAATTAAAAGCACAAAACCCAAAACAAAACAACGGTTGACTTGCGTTAGACCAGCCTTACTGAGGGCAGGACAGTAAACAAGTCTATGACTGACAGGCTGACTGACACAATTGACAAATGTGCTGTATTACAAGGCACTGTAGAGTGTTGATACAGTTGAGGCCAGGGCTTCAATAAAGGCTTTAAAAAGGGAAAGTGAACTCCTTGTCATTTTTACACAGCACCACTGCACACAACCAAATATGACCTCTGCTTTTAACCCATCACCAACGAGAACATTGAGCAGCTTTAAGGACCCAAGGAGCAGTGAGTGGGGACGGTGCCATGCTCAGAGCACCTCAGTGGTAACTTGGCTGCTGAACAACTCTTTGTGTGTTTTACAAGCCACTGTCAAGATGCACAATAATGACAAAAAGCCACCAACTCCATAAAGTAAAATGATAAGCTCTTACATTTTTATAATCACAATATAAATCTTTATGTTCCAGCAATATACTGAAAACACTGTACTTAGAAATATTTATCTGAATTAATCATGGTGACTGGATTAATTCATATCTATAACTTCTGCTGAATTAGGTTAAACATTTGAGTTGTTTAACACAGTGTTTCCCAAACTGTTTTTCTGGGGACCCATATTTTAAAAGTCACAAACCTTTGTGACCCAGGTCAATAGACATTATTTAAAAACTCCTAGGAAAAATGATGTGAGATGACCCCATAAAAATCTCTTGCGCTCCACCTGAGGGTCGCGACCCAGGCTTTGGGAAACAATGGTTAAACAGGCCTAGTAAACACATTTTCTGGTGAACAATTATTACCTGGGCGGGTGTGTTTTTCTGACCATGGTCAAAGAATAGTAATATATACTGTATATGTTTTTTGTTTTGACAGCAGACCAACAAAATCAATATATGCAGCAATGCATCATTACACACAATACTGCATCATTACACACAGTCAAGCATTATAACAGAGCAATGCACTGAGCACCAGGTAGAACAAAAAAATCGATCTGGGAACGACGGCGACGACTGTGTCCTGTCCCGTTCAAATGAAGACAAGATTAAAACAGAGAAAAAAATGTTATCTGACTCAATACTTAATACATAAACATTTGACAGTACCAAATAACCGCAGTGTGCACAGTACAGTCTTTTGTGAGTCCAATAATCTGATTTTATCTGGTAAACTGATGTCTTGTGAGCATGATGAAGCACCAAGCCTTAAAATAAAAAAAGATAGGAAGAGCAGTGATAGAACATTATCTTGTATAATGAGAAATATATTTAATTTCTCTAGCTCTGTGCTACAATAAAAGCATTATTAAATCGTCCGAGAAAATACAAATTCTCCATTATTATTTGCTTGTGTCACAATTATTTGTATGGATTTTCAAATGTTTTTATTGACTGGTAAAATTCCTGGGGAAAACACATTAGCCTTGCACACCAGAGCTCTGAATATACAGGACTCATGACACACCATTAGTGCACTTCAGTCATGACCAGCTGAGGCAGGAAAACACAGGGCAGACAATGCAGTTTGTGTCAAAGAGACACTAGTGTAGAAACCTGACAGCTGCTGAGCTCTACACATTTGTGCTGATGACACACTACTTGACATACAATACCCATTAATTACAAGCCGTTTCTGGTATTGCTGCAATACTAAAAGTAAGCAATGTTAAGATTTAGAAGATTGAGGGGAGCAATCGGTGACACCTCATCCTGGTTGATCAATGATGGTTTCACACACAACAAGAATATTCAGTCCTAGAATGATTTTTTTTAAAATCAAGAGCACTGCAGGAGGCATTTAAAAAGAGGAGGAAAGGAGTAAAAAGGCGTAAGATTCTTGGTTGTCATTACAAAACAGTGAAGTGAGAAGCAGGACTTGGAAAATAATGATGATTTACAGGGATTTACAGCAACAAATTACAAGCTGATGCAAAACTCAAGCAGTGTTTTGAGATAAAAAAGGATGAAACAGATACTATCAGATAAAGAAAAAAGCCATTAATGCCTTAATTCATGGTAGTAAACAAAGATAGGATACAACAGCTGAGACAACACGGACGTCTACCAGCAGCCTCGTGAGCTGAGCAAACAGTAGAAACTGGTGTTTCATCATTTAATTAAAAAAATGCATGAACTAAATTTTCAAAAATCCTCCATTCAATTATATTTCCTAATTAGTGTAAAGCTGTTGCCAAAACAGAATAAGGCACACAGGTCTGTACACTGTGACTCCTCTGAGTCAGGAAGTCGGAGAAAAAAGGGCGGCTGAAAGTGAAAACAGTGGAAAAATGAATCAAGAAAGAACTCTTCTTACAGCAGGTCTGATCCCTTGAACTGGATAAATGTCTTTATTTATCCCATCATTCTTATCCTGCATCATTGTGAAGCCCTTCAGACTGCTACCAGGACACCTACCAGAGAAAAGATTTGGAGAAAAGTCATTCTCTACATAAGAAAAAAAGAAAAACTGTGAGTGGGCAGCTGCGTTCAGAGCTTCTCGTGTATGATGTCCTTTGAACAAATGTGAACTTGAGCACAAGGTTATGTTTGGGAGGGTAATTATAGAGGATCAAGAAATAAAAAAATAAAAATAGATATAAATTGAATATTGGTAACAATAAACAAATGCTACAACTAGCATTTTTACACAAAAGAAAATGTAAATTTTTCTCATAGGACAAAATATATTTCAGCACAGTCAGGAGATTTCAGCTAGTTTTTCTGAACAATGTTTTACCACAACAAACATTTGAGCCACTACAATCTTTTAACACCAATATTTTGATTCACTGTTTTAATGCTCCTCTCCTTGAATCACAACCTTAACGTGGTGGAGGGGTTTGAGTATCCGAATGAACCTAGGAGCTATGTTGTCGGGGGCTTAACGCCCCTGGTAGGGTCTCCCAAGGCAAACAGGTCCTAGGCGACGGATCAGACAAATAGCGGTTCAACCCCCCCCTT